TAAAAAAGAAAACTAAGATTAACACTAGTTTTTCGTGATTTTGTCTCACGACTGTCGGTATGTTGAGTGAATAGTAATGACTAGAGGAAGCTGCAGTATCATTTATAATTATTAACATCTGTTAGTTGACAATGAGCGTGGCGAAGTGTCGGCTATTCTGATGCAGATGGATGCGCGTGCTCCGTCACCGGCGCCTCACTAGCTCGACCTTACCGTCACACCACGGACCCTCGCGTTGCATTGTTATGGACTACATGAAATGTAGATAAATGAATGCGAAACTATTTCCGAATCGAATTACCTCAATAGTCTCTGACCTTACGGTTGAGGTAAATGTGCTGCACCGATCATCTTATTGACAACCAGCCAGTCTTGCAATAATCTATTCGATTTTACAATTTAGCACAATACGAAGAATGTAGGAAAAAATAATCATTATCATAAATAATCACAATTATATTAAGCTACCTTACTCTAGCACATTTGGTTATTAGAAATCATAAAATACTTAATACAATTTTAAACTTGTTCACTTGTTACATGCAAATCAAATCTTCTTCACTTGTATGTATGGTTTACCTATACTTTACACGTCAGTAAGGTAAAAGTAGACTAGTGTACAGACAGGAAACTAAGAATTTATTCTTGTTGTGAAATCAAGTCGTTTTGCATCGAAGGAATTTGACGTCAACGGTACGCGTTAAGAAATGTATCCTTGTAAATGTGAAATAATAATTATAACTTAACTAGTTAACAATCCTAAGTCATGAAGTTTTAATTGTCATGTAAACTGCGACACCTACCTACGTCTAGCAACATGTAGCAGTAGGTACTGTACCATAATGAGCCGCTAATTATGTTAATACGAGTGTTAATAAATAATAAGCTTTTTCGTGACTAATAAAGCGTGACTCCCGTTTAATTTGTTATACATTATTTGCGAACTCTATTATCGATAATTATTAGCATCCAAACAGGAAATAATGACACACGCATCTCGCGACTACAAATTTATATTTGCGTGTGATTTTGTTACGACTCGTGTAAGATTTGTAGCTTAAATACAATAGATAACCGAGGTGTTAGTACGAGTTCTCGTGAAAGCTATATTATCTTCTCGTGCCTACTATAATTTACATATGTATTGGATGAATATTTATTTAATTTCAGTAACTTAATGGAACGAACTTGTTTATAATATCGCGTATACGTTACAGCCAACGGCTGTGTGAAAGAGTAACAAACAATTTTACGGATACTTTTACAATTTTTCACATTTGTAATGTACATACGTACATACATAACATCACGCCTTTTTATCCCTGAAGGGGTAGGCAGAGGTGCACATTATGGCACTTAATGCCACTGTACAATGTAACACCCAATTTTCACAGTTGTATACAGTCACAGTGTTCTTAACCCATGTAATAGGGAGTGAGCCTATTGCCGTATACCGGGAACAATTCCAGAAATCGTGCCACTACTAAAAATTCTTTAAAAACCGAGTAACACTTTGCACGATTCGGAAATCGAACCCGAGACTCCTTGCCCGGCTGTCGCACTTGCGATCACTCGGCCAACGAGAGTTAACAATTTGTTATGTCTGAAATCATGAAACTATGATATGCAAATTAATTATTATCCCGCTTAAGCAAACTACAACCCACATAAATCTTCAGTACTATGTATGTCGATAAGTACCTACGCGGTAGATATTTTCGTACGCCATAATTTCATGTACCATCTTATTTCTCCAAAAAAGGCTGCATAATACAGTTATGACAGCTGAAACTGGTGATAATTAACAGTATGTGTGACGTACGAATAGTGCTGGGCACTAGACAGATATAATTTATATGCCTTCATACAATTTTATGGAGTTTTCGAGGTCATCAACCGCGATAACAACGTCAATTTGTCTTTAGGACATGTGAAGATAGATTGATACTAATTAATTTTAAGCAAAGGTCCCTGTGAAATGTTTACATTTAATCATAAGTACAATATTATCATTTATATAAAATTATAATTATTACAGTCATTAAATGAAATTTGAACAAGAAAATCATTATCCACCTTGAATAAATCGAGTATCGAGTAAGTGTCATCGCTGAAGATATTTTCCTAAAACATGTTACAACTTAAATGGTATGTTAATGCCTAAAGTAGTAGAATAGTTACATAGATATCGCAAGAGTGAGAATTTAATTTATATTTGAAATACCTAGTACCTGTATCAGTCACAAAAGTATATTTTAATAATACTTCAGTAAGACAAAACTAACAGTCGTTTATAGGCTTTCTCAGAAATTAATACCTACTCATATTAGATGCACACTTAACATTTCATTTACATTGTCTAACACTGCGATTGTACACAGTAGTCTCTGATAAAATCCTAATTATCTTTGTATATCACTTTGTTGTTATTCGCGATAGTTTTGTTTGTTTAATGTCTCACAATTTATTAGATACCTAATGCGTATGCAAATAAGAATGCACTTCCATTGAAATCATGCTACGTCATTGCGGTAACAACTGTAAAGTACTTTTACGCACGTGAAACAAACAAATGAAGTGTTGGAACTTTGAAGAAATACTATAATTTTCATACAGCATTCGTGACGCAAGTTATCCGTACGGTTTAAGTTTGTTGACATTGCGATTAACTTTTAAATTACTCTAAGCATAACAAAAAAATCTTAGAAATATCTTGTTTTTAATGAAAATCTGCTGATGAATAATTGTAGGTCCATAATTACCGACATTTCAGTTGATGAGTGAACATTTAAATAAATTCTAGTAGCGCGGGTGGCTCATAAAATGTAACTAGTTGCAGTAACTGATATGTCGCTGCCATTTAAAATACATAAGTAATTCAACTAATTCTTACAACTTCATGGTTGGCAAATGAATGATGTCACCTCACATTTAGTGTTTATCATCGGTCTAGAATAATAATAAATGTCGTTTCCACTAACTGAAAGTTTGCATTACAGTACTCTTCTTTGGTGTTAACTTTTAGAGCAAACTAAAGTATAAATTAAAGCTTTTCATCCGGTTACCCCGATCTCTACTACTGTTATCTTTTATCAGAACAAAATTTATATTAGTTGCGTAGATTCTTAGATAGTGTGTGCTCAGATTAACATAATATAAGAGCCGCTGAACAAATTTGTTTAAGGTGGATAGGTACACTGCTAGAGAGGTACGTTGAATAAACAATAGGGAGCATGAAGTAAAGAGGAGGCCAAATAGTATAAGGTTCCTTGAACGGAAGGCATGATCAGTAATCTGGCTCACATTTACGTGTTTATTAAATACCGGGATCAGGGTTAAGTCAACTGAAATATAGACTACATTAAATAACCATGTTAGTAGTAGTGGTGTTTTGAGTCTGCATAAGAATGTAAAACATATTTAATGTACACGTAGCTTGTGGCTTAGCCGTAATCTAAGAGTAAATCTTGTTGATATCTCTCAGAATTGGTTCATAATGTTATCAGGCACCACAAATATTAGCACTGTTGTCGTTACCAGCTCCCACTCCGACCTTGCCGCACCATGAATCCATATATTAAACTGATACTACAACGTCTTTCAGTAAACAATTATGTATTGTTATTGAAAAGAGAGTGTGTTCAACGCGCAATCACTGTCACAACGCGTAGACGTGATTGAGCATAGATAAAATTAATAATGAACTACATACGGCCGGTGAGGCTACGTTAGTAGGTAGATGTCAGTATGTCAGGTGCATTGTTTCCTCAAAAATAAAGGCACACGTTCAGACACCTAGGTAAACGTTTTACAGTCATTCGACGTGTCGTTGTTTCTTCGTATCAATTGTAAAGGTCATAAATGTTAGAGCGAATGTTCTGCACGTTCTTCAACAGTAATTAGATCATTAGTTGTACTTATTTCTAGACCGAGACAATTTTTACCGATCAATTCGGCTAAAATTAGATCTTTTGGCTAAGATATTTGTCAAATGCACCGCATGGCAAATTAAAAACAAGTAGCATCATATATCAATAGATAGCGTTTTAAAATAACATAAGACATTCTTTTGTTAACATGACAGACGAGCTGTGAATTTCGCCGAGATCAGTAGCCGAATTTTAACAATGACAATCTTTATGACCTTCATTATGAAGTAATGCTTCCTCATTGTTCATTTGTATGGGATGATTATGTTGTCTATTTCTTTAACTGACGCATTTATTATGGTGGGATTTTGACATCACAATTTTTCTTTTTTTTTGGTCTTCATACTTCCATAATATCCATACTCTATATCCACGTCCAAAGCAGCCTAAAATCAGTGATTCAATGATAAAGTGAAGAGAGCTGTTAGATGACATAACAGACATATAATAACTTTTATTATAGTTTTGCTCCACATATCCTCTTTCTAAGTCACTAAAAGGATCAACTAATTTGTAGATGACCTCGTTATGTTCCATTGATTAAACACAGAATTCCGGTTCACATGTCTAACTGATAAACATAAATGCAACACTTCGTCATACAGAATAAGAATAACTTGCTAATTTAGTTAGAAGGAAGTTGCAACGTAGTTTCCAAAACTGCTACATATATCAATAACCGATAACGATTGCATTCATATATTACAACTGAGAAGTTTAATGTTGTTTATTTTAATGACTTATTGCTATCCTATTCTCACGGGTCAGTCGCCTAGACGATTAATTAGATATTAAATATGAATGAGATGTAGCGCATTAGCACTAAACAGACTCTTACCTCTAACCTTATCACCACTTAAGTATTTATTAATAGACCAGGAATCAGGATAAGGAAACAATTCACCAGCTTAAAAATCAATGTTACAATTTTTGCGTATTGCCCTCGAATAAGGTCGCTAATAGCGTGCCTGATTTAACAGTCTGCGAGTGGACGTGTGGCTACGTGATAAGAAGACGAATGATCTATTGTTGTCAAACATTCATACTTATCAATTGATTGTTTTTTTACAGGCAAAACGTTGCGGCTGATTGTCCGAGCTTGACTGATGGCGACAACTACACACAATCAGAGTTCCTATCCCGGCTGGCCAACCAGTGCCGCTATGATCGACTGCTGCTGCCTACCTACACCACTGGTGACGTAGTGTATGTGCATGCTAGCGCCTACGTCTACTTCATACAGCCCGCCGAGGCTCATGATTTGGTAAGTAGTCTATTTATGTTTGCCGAATTTTCTAATTGAATGATCTTTAAACCATGAGTAATCGAACATTATTTAGTTGAATTATTTAGTGCAAAACATATTCTATACGTTCGTAACGAGCCAAAATATTCTCATTCTAGAACTTCAAACTTCATTTTCTGCTTCAACTTCGATGGACTGATCCACGGTTAGCGTATAAATTATTCTCACCGGACAGATTAAAGATTATCGGTGAAAGTGATTTAAGAGAAAGGATATGGGTTCCGCATCTGTACATGTCCAACGAACAGTCCTCAAGTTTGATGGGTACGGACAGCAAAGACGTGCTGATATCGATATCACCTACCGGCGAGGTGCTGTTCAGCAGACGCATGCAAGCTGTACTCTACTGCTGGATGAATCTACAAAAGTTTCCGTTCGACGATCAAACTTGCTCAATGAATTTGGAGAGCTGTAAGGATTCTTCCATATAATCTCTTAGTAAATTTGCTGTTTATAAACAAACGCATTTACGTAAAACTGTCGTTTTACAATGCTTATTATCTTTCTTTTAACGTCATTGTAGGTATATGAATCATACAAATATGCAAGACTTCTAAACTGCCCGTGGACAATAACAATTTTCCTTATTTTATAATTTTAGGGAAATACAATGCATCCATCTTAAGGCTAATGTGGGAAAAAGACAGCCCAGTCCGGTTATCGTCGGAGCTACACCTAACGGAATATTCTCTACTGGATTTTTGGACGAATGAGTCAGTTGTTCGTGGGGATATTGTCAACATGCGTCTCGGCGAAGGAAGATGTAATTTACTTTTTATTACGTCATCATAATAAAATTACTCATACAAATGCTGATAATAATGTCTATTTATATCTTTTCACAGCCGGAAACTATAGCGCCTTAAAATTCACGTTCAAACTGGGTCGTGAAGTGGGTTACTATCTGATGGATTACTTTATTCCTTCGATGATGATCGTCGCTATGTCATGGGTCACATTTTGGCTGCAAGCAGACGCATCGGCACCTAGAATAACACTAGGTACGTGCTGCACATACTTTACAAGTAGATAAAGATCTGAACTACCTATGTTTTGAGTTTATACTTTATGTATTTTGGGTGTCGTTTTAGGTACAAGCACGATGTTATCGTTCATCACATTGGCGTCCTCCCAGGCGAAAACGTTACCAAAGGTGTCCTACATCAAAGCCAGTGAGATCTGGTTCCTGGGTTGCATTGGCTTTATCTTCTCTGCATTAGTCGAATTCGCTTTCGTCAACACCATTTGGCGTAGAAAGTACGTATTTGTTTATTAAGAAATAGTTAATAGTCATTTTCATACACTGTATCATAAAAGCCTTATTGCATATTATCAGTACTTACCTCTTATCCTATCACTTCAGATATCTTAAAATAACAGCGACGACTTACCAAAACATTATGTTCCTCTTTTACAGGAAAGCGGTTAGTCTGAAGAAAGTGAACAGTAAATACATATTGAAGAGCACGCTGACACCGCGGCTGGCTCGCAAGGAGCTGCAGAAAGAGTTGCAGGAGTCGTCGCCGCAGCTCAGCAAGTCACGGTCATGTTCCTCGCTCAACCAGGAGACCAGCACCGACCCTGCAGGACCTGGATACAACAACTACCTTACCGTACATGTAAGTTACTTTAAATTTATGTTGCTTTTCACGCCAAAGTCCCCAAGTTACTTGACGGCTCCATATGGTTTTATGGTTGACCTCTCTTGGTTTAATATGTCTACTTCCACTACAAAAAGTCTATCATTATGTTTACGTGTTGTAAGAGCACTAACTGATGAAATACACCATACGTTCCATAACTACATATAGAGGTAATTGACCCTTATTTTCGTCAGCTAGAAATATGATATCCATATTCTAGAAATTATTACAGTCTGTCTCAGTGTCACACAATGTTGAGAGAAGACAGCATAAATTATATTTAATTGTTATCATTTAACAAATAAGACAAGTAACAATATAAGTGCTGAATATTAGTATAGCACGTGCAATATATGACTCAATCAACAGACCGACATCAATCTACATTGAACCAAAACAATTATAGGCATTACTGTGACTAAAAATGTTTATAGGAATGCGGAAATTGCACGTTTTGCACAGCGACACACCTGTGCAGTTTCATTGTGAAACTACACATCCTCTATCTTCATTGGTAGAATAGTTATTACGGGTACTTTGATCTTTTTCATTCCATCGCCACTTCATTCTATCATGGATTGCAGTTACAAGTTCAAAGAGCAAAGTAGACATTACTGAGTATTCCCCGTTGATCATTCTTGTGTTTTTAAGTCAGTCATATGATTTTCCTCTGTATTTTCAGAGCTTCCCATCTGCAATGAACCTGCCGACCATCACGACACAGAGCTTCGACGACCTAATCGGGCAGGGAGGCAAACAGCAGAGAGGCAACGGCAGCGAAGGTTCGGACGAGCCTCCCAAACACAACTGGACCACCATGACGCCCCAGGAGATCGCCACATGGATCGACAAACGTTCCCGAATCATGTTCCCACTCTTATTCATCGTCTTCAATATTTTGTACTGGACTTTTGTTTACTGCCTATAACAGCTCAAATATCACACGTTTCCATGTGTAGCTAGTTTCGGACGATCATTTTAAAAGCAACTTACGGTCCGCAATGAACAGACCATTTTTTGAGCTTTATAGTAAAAATTAAATAGTTTTACAAAACTTTAGTGGCCATAATATTATTTGACGATCAAATTAAGAGTAATTCTACTTCGTTATTTGCCAATCCGCGGAACTTGCCTTAATGTTCTAGGTACGCGAGGTTGTATCGAATCGAGTCATAAAATAAAATACTTTTGTACTATCCTTTTGTAACACGCGAATGTGATATCTTCATGAAGTTAGTTTAACGAACATATCGCAAGGAAGTATTTACAATAAAATAAATAATTTATTTATTTATGTAATTTCTATTTATCTAGATATCTAGTTAAAATACGCGACCCCATTCTATTCTGTAGTGGTAATTAGTGGGTCATCGCATAGTTTTTGTAACTATTTTGAGTGTGTGATAACAATATTGTGTTAATTGGTCATTCCAAAACATGGGACCAATTAGAGATTTAATAAGTAGGTACTTAAGATAATTTTGATGTGCTATATGAATGTCACAAAGCGTATAATCGATCGCATTTATTTGTAAATCATATTTCAAATGAGATTAGTCGATTTTAGTCAAATGAAACTATACGTTACATATTATAATATTAAATTAGTTAAGTTGCAATGTTATCTTTAATCTTGTACGTTTTTATTTAAGGTTTCATAACCACGATTACACTATAATCTTAGTTACCTACTATTGTTACCTAATCTTGTATACTAGTTAAAGATTGGAAGCTAAATTAGTGTCTACTTACATATAAGTAGTGAATTAGGTCTAGACACCTACCATATAAATTAAATTATTTGTAACTTATTGTTATTTAAAGGTCGAGTTGTTATTTACTAAGTTTGAATTGTTAGAAAAATCACGATGTATATAAAGCATTGAATAGTGCCTTCAAGAGATTATTTTAGTTAGTATTATAAGAAACTTGTCTGTGTATTAGATAAGTAATGTTTGTAATCTCAATGATATAAACTCGAATCACCATTATCGTGTTTATTGCTTAGTTGCATTATGTATAATGCTTATTTTCCCTGACAAGGTAAACGCGGATGGCTGTTTACTTATTATTCATCCGCCGTGCCGTCTGTTGCTATTCTCAGGACATCACCCTCGACTCGACAAGATGTTCGCACACGTGGATGTATTTTCCTGTATTACTCTCCAAGATAATCTAGTATATATACTTCTGATGACGTATGCAGATACTACTAACATTGTATGCTGGCGTAGTGGAACATGTGACAATGGGGTGACTTCTTACTAGTGTGGATAAGTTGCAGTAACTACCTACGTAGGTAGTGTTTAAAGATTCAATTTTGTAAAATCCTTTAAGCTCTGACTTTCCTGTGAGCTTCGTCATACTGCACCGGTACAAACTGAATCATACAAACTTTATCTGTAACTGGGAATGGTGAATGAGTCTGCATTGCAGTGTAGTACTGCAATATTTTTACTATTGCGCCACATGACAAAATTTTTTTTCCAAAGTATCATGAATCGAATTGTTAGAATTATTTGCTAAGCTCCTGAATTACAACCAGGATAAGTCTATTATTTTCAATTGTACCTATACATTCACAAATATCATTGTACCGGTTGCCTTATTTACATTTGTGATACAGTTTATTGGTTTCTTTTATCAAATTAATAACCAAACAATTAAAAAAGCCTCATTTCTGTCACCTTTATTTTACAGTGGACAAATAGGTAGGTACTTTATTATTTTACTTTAGAAAAAAGGATATACCAAACAAGTGGCTATATTTATTGAATATTTTACAAAACAAACTCACAATATCTTACTTGAAAAACAAGTTCGAAGAGATCAAACCGATCACGATAAACCCACAACACCACTAAAGTGATCTAAACGCAACATCAACTTGTGTAGTTAGGTACCACATGATAGACCAATCACAAAATGTCTACATCCGTAAATGACATTATTAAAGCCAAAATCAAGTATCAATGAACTAAACCAACGAAAAAGATACTGAAGGCCTGTGATAACGAGAGACTGCGAGAATCCATTGGGTACATCTTTATCAAATTTAATTTGACACTACATAATATACCGAATAATTTACCAAGAGGACTAAGAGAACCCTCTTCATGCAATTTCGTAAAGTACTCGGTGGTTCTTTTTCACAATCCTTACTCGTTTTCATCCTTAGTGGATAAAAGTTCCTCGTCTACACAGGCCCTAAATAAATGAATACGATAAATATACTTTTTGCTTTTATCCTTCAAGCTCAAGTAATCAACTTTGGCTTCAGAAAAATGCCCATAAAACAGTGCCACGAATTTCTGGCGAAAGATCACTGGAGATCAGACGAAACTAGACCAGGCCGTTGCAAAAGAGGAAGTCAGGGAGCTGGCTCGTCATCTCCACGATGTACTGCTGTCACCAGGCTCTCGTCACTCGCATAACGCTTCAAAGCTGATGCACTTGCTTGACTAGAAGCAGAATATAATGAATACATGAATAACATTCACATTTAATTTACCAGTGAACTCCAAGTTTAGACATTTGTCGTTTGTCATTTGTCATTGATTTATGCACGATTTTTAATCAGGGTAAACATTTTTCTGTCATTTTCACTCAAGTCTAAAAACCGTATAATACTTTGCCAAATTCGTAAATTTTCGAAAACCGATCTCCCAGCTCGTCAGTCATGCATGTGAATGACCATACGATTAAAGTGGCAGTCGAAGAAGTCTATATGTCTGTGAGCAGTAGGTACCTGTATCTGGTCCGAGGTCTAGGTGTAGGTGCGAGACGTGGTAGACGGTAGTCGTACATCAACGTACCGCCAGAACCTGAGCTCGAGCCTCGGCCTGACCCACTCGAACTCTCCGACCACGTCAGCTCAGACATACTGGATATTGAAACCGAGTTATTAGTGAAAATAAAATGTCTGTAATGCTCAAGACGTGCACTAGTTAATCTTTGGTGCTACTTCTGCTGCTGCTACTAGGGGCTACGATAACTACTACTAGCTACAGTAACGGTATCCCTATTCCTTATTTCAAGCTTGTTTGCCTTCAAGAAATAGAGCATTAGAAGGAATCTTTCAAACTATTTACGTTAGGTAGGTACTTGATATTTAATAAACAAGTAAAATGCACATTGTACTTATAAAAAAAGCATATTATCCAGTACCTGGTTGATATAGGTGGTAGACGGTAAGGAGGGGTGAAGATATCATTGCTCTCTGTGTAGGTGGATGCGTGGATCTCTTGTTGATACAACTCATACAGCTGCGCCAGCTCAGGCGGCACGCCAACGCCTACGTCTGGAAAAGAGCAATTATAAGTATAAGTAGAACTGATCGGTTTCTAGTTTCCACCGAGAATCTTTGTTTAGTGGTCACGCTTACTATTCCTCCATTTGCCATTTCATGTTCATTTATATTTTTTGTTTTGGTAGTAGTATTTCGGCGCTATTATTATATTTTACCCCCAAATAATTATACAGACAGACTTGACGCTGTATAGCGGAGACATACCTTGTAATGCACGCCTCTGTCTTGTTATAATCTCATCAGATAATCTTCTTTGTGCGTCTCGTCGCTGCAATGCCAGGTCCCGTCTCCGTAGCTCATGAGCTCTTGCAGCTCGCTCTCCTTGCAGAGCTAACTTGTCAGCTTCCAGTTCATGCACACGACACACTAGGGCCAACACTTCTCGTTCTGGCCCGCTACTTATTGTAGCTGGTAATTCCTGGAATCAAAGCTAGTTTTTCAATCTCAACTAAAATTTTGTGGAAAATTCGTCTGGTGATGAAGTGCCAAACATGACTGCTGAGTAAGGGGTCTCAATTTATTCGCGAATCGGGAAAATTATGACCTACAGAGATTTCGGATTTCGAACCGGCATCGTCTTGGATGCATAGAGATATTTTTGATGGGGGGCACATAACATAAAAGTCAAAAAGCCTACCTACGAGACATAAAATGCGTAGTGTCCTGTAAATGAAACTTTATGTTACCTGTTCCAACTGCGCCCCTCTTAAGCGGACTTGCTCTAGCTGTCTTTCAACGCGTTCCCTCTCTGTACGAGCTGACTCCTGTTCCCTCTCGACGGCAGCTAATTCAGCCCACGCTTGTTCTACAGCCACTTCAGCTTCAGCTCGCTCACTGCTGCTCGATGATAATCCAGTGCCGCCCCTAGACATCCGTAGGTATACTTTTGATCTTAGTCTTAAAGTTACGCATTACTTAATTGAATAACGCTCAACAACTTTCAAGATTCGAAATCTTGCCTGATCCGCATATTGAATCCCAGAATACAGAGGACTAATGTGCTTTAATGATTTTTTAAAACAATGTTCATCGCTTCCTGTTTCCATCCGGGGACTAAAAAGGCTGATCTCATGCTACTAACTTTCCTAAAAAAAAATACGTAAAGCTACTTTTCTAAAGAAAAATGCATTTCCACTATACCTGTAACTCTGTTGGGTGCTTAATCTGGAGCCAGGCATGTTGATTGGTTTATAGAGGCGGTTGAACCTCGCCTCCCAATGCGAGATGGCAGCATGTTGCCTTTCTGCATCTAACGCTAACCCTAACAGGTGACTATCTAGCTCCATCAACCTCCTTCGTAAGCGCATTTGTTGTTTGAATGTAGACACAATGGCTTCCCGTAAAGATTTCAAATGAGCTGCGTTTTCTGCTGCATCTTCTTTACTAATCTCCTCTTCTTGAACTCTTGCAAATTCTGGTTTACTGTTGAATGTAAAATAACATAAGTTATCTAACACAAATATATAGAAGCAAGAAAAGGAAGAGGGAAGTACATGCAATAATCATTAAGATATCTCTTTCTAAGCGCAAAAAGCAACGAAAAATTCCAAGCGTATAATGGTTTTGGCTAGATACTAGATCGTTTACGGATTATCTTTACAGATTAAACACGTTACATCAATGAATGAGTAAAAAACCAACATTGTTCTGTCGTCCTTCATCTTAAGTTTCAGTCGAGCGATTTCTTCACGCAGTTCGTTGATGACCGTCCGGTACTGTGATAGAGGCATCGGCGTTTCTACCAATTCACGTTCCACCTGAAACCATTTTCACCGTGGTAAAAAATATAATCGTTTTGAGAATGATGGTATAGTATAAACAGTTATAGATTATTTTGAAAAATGCTCTGGTTTTAGTTGATGTAGTACCTACGACTTTCAAGAAGGGGTTTCGAATTCTTTCTGATAAATTCTTTCTGATAATACCTTATTGGTGATAGAAGATGCCTTCTGCGCATAGTGTAGGGTAGACCGCGTGGTGTCACGATGTGCTACGCCGGGCGCCACGTGCGCCACCATGGCGGTACGGCAACGTCCTCCCAGCACTTCGCGGAGAAGGCGTGTCAACTTCGAGTCACGATAGTTCACGTACCTGCAACATAAATAAATGAATAGGGATGAGGACAGAGTATGAAAATTAAAAATTAATTAGTCCGTCAGTTAGGTAGGTAATGAAAAAATACTTAACATGTATTTTTTTATTTTGTCGTATAAGAAAACAATACTTAGATAAAACGAATGAAAGCTTAGGAGTGGGAGGTAGCTACGTTATTTTAGAGTATAAATCGTACTCAAAAGTAACGTCATGCGATATTTGAAATCAATATATCTTCGACACGTATTTTTTTAGTAATGTACCAGATGGACATTAAAATAAAAATTAGTTATCTACCCTATTGTATGATAATTATTTGCTTCAACACTTTAGGTATTTATGGTACTGCAATGTAGACTCATGTAATTTTTAAGACAGCAAAGTCAGTTGGTATGTGTGTATTCAGAGCGTGGCTTTCGTTGACTACCTATGTTACTTTTGTGCTTGTCGAAATGGATTTAACCATAGCTCACAAAAATAACGTACCTACACTTTCATATTGCAACTAAAACCTTTTCTATCAACAATACCCGATTGCGATAATCGTAGCACTAGCAATGATTGTAGCACTAATTATTGCAATCACTATCATTACAGGCGCTTCAAACGTAAATATATATTTTGGTATCTAACGATTCTAACTACTACGAACTATATTCACGTTAGTATAATATATTGTGGAACTTCAACTTATTACGACGTTAATTTTAAGGACTGAAAAAAATATTCCAAATAGATTATTATTTATTATCATTCTCTTCATTATTCTTATGTCTGCAGTTACTTATATAGATTATTGTTAAGATCCTATTATTGTAAACAGTAAGTCGAGATTACCTTGCACCACCCGAAAGAGCCATGATGCAGTTTCCTAGAGCTAAAAGTGATCGATTGATGTGTGCGCCCTCTAGCCGTCTCGCACGAAGACCGGCTCGCTCCGAGCCCGCCAAGTCGATGAGGAAAAGACGACCACGTTGTGTTCCCTTCTCCACTTGTTGACTGACTGTTACACTGTGAATCGTCATAATCTTGCATTACAAAAAATACTAGCAAAATATACTTACATAACATACAATCCCAGATTTCTCTGAATGGATCTGTAGATGTACCTACATAAACTTATTATCGGCAAATTGTTAAATTTTAATTACATTACCTCGTAATTGGAGTAAATATGAACACAGGCTGACAGCATAGTATAAAGAACACAGTAGGTTATCTAAGGCCGCCCGCCGAGTTATTAGCCTACTCTTGCGTTGATCCCCAGGGTTGTCACTTTTACTTTTAGTTAATATTTTCGAACAAGCAGCACTTGATCTAAATTTATGAAAAGCATATTATGATTGAATATTTTATCAATTTATAAATTTAGTAAAAATTAAAAGCTTATAAAAAGATTATTAACTTCTTAAAATAAACTTTAGCTCTATACATAGTAGTCAGAAAGTAAATTTGGGAATACATTTATATGGAAAAATGCGACTCGGCTACGCTCTTAGCAAATCAGATAAACTGTGAAATAAACAATACAATACCACATTTTCTTATAATATTTAAGTATAGTAGGTAATTACATTTCTGGTTGAGTAGGAACTATGAAGAATGATAAGAGTAAGAATAAGTAAGTAGGTATCTCATCATCAAGTACCTACAAATTATATTATGCTAGAAAAAGTGACTAGCTTACCTTTCCTGTTCAATAGGTACCTAATCTGAACAGAGACAGTTCTGGAATCGATTAATTATTAAGACACCCAAACACACAGCAATACGTTCTTTTACGATTATCAGACATTTTTTATTTCATTGAACAGTGCCGAAAAGCCGTGAAGCGCGCGCGAACCTCGTACAGTGTCAGCCCTGCCTGGCGCACTGAGAAACGGGTCGAGATTTTGTTAAAGTGTGCGTGCGTCGACGCATAGATACTATGGCGCACACATATAAGCCGCGCGCGGAGCATTTGTATGAAGATAACCTACTTTGTTCTTTATACTATGCTGACAGCCTTATTTAGCATCAGATGCAATTTTGGACTCTTACAAGAAATTCCAAAGATCGATCACAACACACATCATTCAATTTAGACCTGAGAAGGGTATTTTACCTGAGAAGGGCATGTCCCCTGGAAGAATGTTGGTTTGCATGGGTAGGCTCTGCAGTGCGGGAGCGGTCTCCCCTCGCAAGCAGCTCTGCGACGTGAGCAGCGCTGTTTGCCTTCAGCTCACTCAAGCCAGCGACTACAGGGGCACCGCTACCACCCTCATCTCGGAGCTCTAGGGGCCCAGCACTCGGATTCAACAGGTCCCGTATAATCTCATTGTAAATCTCAATGTATGACATTTTCACCTGAGAAATGTAATTATGATAGACTTAAAAAGTATTACAGGAGATAAGTATAGTGTTATTTCCGAGAAATAGTAGATTAGATACATCGTGAGTGTCACTCGTACGATGTTATGATATTCCAAAATATTTGTCACTATGTCTATGCAAAATAATCTGTCCATCAATTCTTATAAACGTAACAATAGTGATATGTCCCACCCCATCACAATTTATCTTATCTTGTTTGTTTGATTAAATCTTCTCTGATATGTAGAACTGTTCCCAATAATTAAATACTAGTGTGCCCATTACTTTTGTTACTAAGTACCCAACCTATTAATTGTACAAATAATTACAATGTTTATAAAATAAACATAATTTCGTTTTTATTTCCACTTGATTTAGTGTCGCTAAGCGCTTATAAAGTGGAGGTAATCATTCGAGCTACAGTTATTAATTGAAAGCCATCACGGCAATTACTGGCGACATCAAAATAACCGGTAAATTGATAAACATACATCGGCCGAGCTGAGCTGGTTAGTCATAAGTGTACAAAACGGAGAGTATTTTTCATTACTACATTTAATTTATAACGCGTTTTTTTAGAATGAACATACATACATAACTTCACGCCTGTCTCCCATGGGGGTAGGCAGAGACTAAGGAACGCCAATTACTACGATTCTTACATACCTCTTTCGCTTCATTAACAGTCATCAATCTTTTCATGCATGCTCGTCGGTTAAGGGTACTTTTAATTTGGCCCTTCTTTAATATATCGCCAATCTGGTCACTATATGTCCGTCTAGGGCGCCCTCTACCGACGGCTCCATTCATATCCGCTCTGTATACTTCTTTCGTTACTCTACTTTCATCCATCCTTTCTACATGTCCAAACCAGCGTAACATTCCCTTTTCAATCCTTGTCACTACATCGTCTTTCAATCCACACCTCTCTCTAATAACACTATTTTTCACTCGATCACTCAATTTTAGTCCACACATACTTCTCAGGGCTCTCATTTCCACCGCATTAATCCTGCTTTCATGCTTCTTCTGCCACACCCATGATTCACTACCATACATAAGCGTTGGTGTCAATACACACTGCATTACAGCAAGTCGAGCTTTGCTGGATATTATTTTACTCGACATTACAGAGTGTAAAGCACCATTAACACTATTTCCCGCTTTCACTCTCCTTTCAATATCCCCGTCACACTTTCCATCTCTCGTAAATAGTGATCCCAGATACACAAATTCATTCACTTGTTCCAATTTTTCATCACCTATCATTACCTGACATTCTGTTATCACCTCATTTCTTTCTATCACCAACACTTTCGTCTTGTTCACATTTATTTTCATACCTTTCCTTTCAAATGCATCACTCATAGCAGTGACCATTTGTTGTAATTCTTGGGCCGACGAGGCAACAAGCACCTGGTCGTCGGCATACAACAATGTTTTAATCACTGTGTCATTCATCCTTAATCCAGGCTCTCCTACTTTCAGGTCGTTCAAACAACTGTCCATAAATAGGTTGAACAGCCAAGGAGATGCTACACAGCCTTGCCTAACACCGCGATTAATGTCAAACCACTCCGTGTAGTCCCCATTTATTCTGACACAGGCACTCGAGTCCTTATATAAGGATTTAAGTGCCCGAATCAGGTGGCTATCCACCCCATACATGGACAGAGTTGACCACAGTTCATCCCTCACCACTCTGTCATAAGCCTTTTCTAGGTCTATAAAGGCACAAAATACCTTTTGGTGCTTTGATAACACTTTCTCTGAAATGCACCGTAACGAAAAGACTTGATCCGTACACCCCATTCCCTTTCGAAATCCCGCTTGCACATCCCAGATTTTACGCTCAGTTACATCCATCACTCTTTCGATCAATACCTTGGCATACAACTTTCCTACTACGCTTAGGAGGCTTATACCGCGATAATTTTTGCACTCCTGCTGTGATCCTTTTCCTTTATATAGTGGCACAATTACGGCCTTGGCCCAGTCTCCCGGGACACGACCGCATCGCCAACACTTATTAAAAAGTAGATACAGCAGGCTTGCAATTACACCTCCACCCTCTGTTAGCATTTCAGAAGTTATCCTATCACATCCCGCTGCTTTACCTACTTTCAAACTCTTAATGGCACTCACAATTTCATCCATATTTATTTCTCCCACATTAGCACTTTCATTCTCATCGTTTACTTCCTCTTCTTTCAAATCACTCCTTTCAAATAAATTCTCGAAGTATTCCTTCCACTGCTTTAAAACATCCTTACTTTCTCCAATGACACTCCCATTTATATCCCTTATCGTTTTAGAATGAAATAAGTATAAATTCTATGATATGTCTCCAAAATAGTTTAAATCCATAGTTTATGTATGTACATATGGTGGACTGAGGTAAATTAAAGCTATATAAACTACGAGTATTTGTTAACATTACGAAATATTCAAGTAGACAAATGGTATGAAACATAACGACCTGCAATTACATTAAACTCTAAAATTGTGCTGTTGACCGTAAGTCATTCGTGTCTAATATTTCTTTCATTGGAACAGTAATGTCCCATGGCCCGCTGAACTGTTTGTTTCTCGCACATGTCAAACACCGATGACCATTAAGGGATCGTTAGTGTACGGGGCGGTGTACTTATGCCACCCACCCATATTGATTCCATGCTTCGATGTACAGCAAACATCAATTTTCGTCTTTATGAATATCGAATATCTATGAAATATACACATTCCTAGCAAACAACATTTCCTATCATCATCGATAATATCGATGGAAAATTGATCAAACAGAGGTTGATGAAAAGGATAATTTCAAAATGAAAATGTTCCGTTTGTTCGTTCGTGTTTGCGCAGTAAACTGCTTTCGGTTAAGGTCGCAGTTAAATATCCTCTTCAATGTCACAGTCAATCATCCTAATCCTGACTAATATTCAGTACAAATAACAATAATTCAGTTTTTTTTTTTCGTCTATATTTTTTATATTTTCACACGTAAACTCGTGAACAACATTCATTCATATTGTTGAATAATAGAATATTTGTTTCAATAGTAGATACTGGTGGATCATGTACATGTTTACTAGCTATTTTTGAAAGCAAATATTTGAAAGGGTAAGAGATGGATGAAGCTAAAACTTTAAATTAATTCGTAAACTCCATATTCGTAGCATTAAAGCCGCAAATAAAAACTACATACCTCTAAAATGAGAGAACAAGTCAGTAAAACCTACTATTTATGGCTATGGTTTGTATTAAAATGTCACATTAAGGTGAATCATTTATTGAAAAAATTATAAACATAGTTATTATTTCTCATGTAGTGGAATGTCGTGCAGACAACAAAGAGGAATATGAAAACAATAGCCTATAAATGTACACGTGTAGCTGTACTTTGTTTTATATATTTACTACAATTACAACACATGTTGATTGAAATTAATTCTCAATTCTGGGAATAAGGTAATAGCCAAGTCTTCTATAACTAAAACATATATTATATTTTCCAAGTGCACCCAGATGTAGTGATTGGGAATGCTATGCTTCTTACGGTTGATTCTTCACTAATCAAATGGTTTATTTGGAGATTTCTCATTAATACAAATATCAAACCTGGAATCAAAATTCTAAAGAACTATCATTACTTTCTCTGTCGTAGCAAATCTGCTACGAAATCGTAGTATCGTAGTCCTGCTACGTATGGGTTACGAACGCTACGAAAATTAGAAAGTTCTGTTTGTCTTCATTTTGTAAATGATACAATTTAACGTATTTCTTGATCTGCGTTGTTCCAGAATAGTCTGGAATAACTGAGGCAGATTTCGCCTCAGCAGTTTTGCGTTGAGGAGTAACAAAGACACATACATTTGTATGTACGTACTCACAAAGTTTCGCACTTATAATATTAGTAAAAATCATGGAAAATACTTATTCAGCATTCTAAAGTCCTTATCATTATTATAACACTAATATCTTTCGCGTAATAGATCGGCTACAAAAATTTGGAGTCCTGCTACGAGTGGACTACGAACGCTACGAAATCTTGCTACGAGAATTAGAAAGTACTCCTTGTTCAAATCTCAAAACTGCTTTTTTTATAAAAAGATTGTTGCAATAATAATAAGGACATGGAAAATGAGCGCAGGATTAACATTTACATAGGTACGCACTTGCATTATCATAATTACAATTAACGATCTGAGTTACAGCGTTCCAGTTAAACTGTATACCTGTCACACCACGTCGGGCCTCCTACATAAAGATACTGCTTCGGAACGTTATACGTGCAGTTAATAAACAGCAAATTATTGCGAAGATTTCTATGAAAAGTTATATGAAGATGTTATTAGAACAATAGACGTTTCTTAATTCAATTTTGAAATGTTATTTAGCTGGAGTTAGTTACAATACAGGAGATAAATAATTTCTCCGCAAAGGCAGCAGTGCACCTGTTTAATGAAACAACCACTTTTCACCCGATATGTTCTATTTATTTCCCGTACAAAATGGGGGTTGAATAGTTTACACTATTATATCAATCAATTTCCTCAATCATAATGACACACCGGTACTTGAACTTTAAATAGGATCATGACTTCGTATCCTATTATTACAGTTGACATTCAATCGATAATCGATTACAACCTGTCACAGGCTACAGCCTGGATGTCCTTTATAACGAGGATTTAATCACAGCTTACACTTGACTAACGGACTATTGCATTACTGAGTATGTCAATTGTAATGTCACCATGACTGAACTAGATACAAGAATGCCGTGTAATTATTCAGTTTAAACACCATGAATCACAGTATTCATAGTCACTTTTTAACAAAACAAAGTTCAGAACAATTGGCTTAGTCATTGCACTATAATGCCTACAAAATATACCGCCTACGACCCTAGACGTGTGCTTTGATAACAGAATTCTTCATCGTTCAGTAGACATAACAAAACCGACAAAACATTTAAAATATTGATTTTA